TAGTTATGTATATGTATATATATATATATATATATATATAAAGAACAGTTCCATGTTGAATAACATTTTAATTACAAAAAAAATAAATAATTGTTTTCTATAAATATATACTTATTATAAATTATTACTAATTTTTAAAAAATAACATATAAATTAGTTTGATAAAAAGTTAAGAAACTAAAAGATTATGTCTATAACGCTTATTTTCTGGCTTCAAAAATTTATTATAAATATAATATCTTTTATATTATTAAGAGAAATATGAGAATATTATTTACTTAAAAATAAATACCACTGTTTTTATATTTATATTACTCTCCAGTAATGATGTTGACCAGCTAAACTGAGATTCTCAGTTTTGGTCCATGAGGATTTGTAGTAATTATTAATTATACTTCATAAAGAGCCGCGGCAGACTTTCGAGCCACGTGGCAATAAGATACTGGCCAACTTGAAGAAATATCCATAAAAATCCAGGTAAGTCTTTGCAACAGAAAAAATAGAATATTCTATTTTACAGAAAGAAAATTAGATAGTAACTTAATTTGGTTAGGAAAATGAGTAACAAATTTTAATTTTAATTAAGAAGATATTAAAGTTTTATCCATTCTATTGTTTTTAACAAGATTCTTAAAAAAGTTTAGGGATTTGTCAAATCATGAAAAATCATACTTGAGACTAACGTAATGTTTAAGATTAATATTTTTAAATATTTAATGACACATTGATCAGTCAATAAATTCATACATTTTAATTATTTAAGTCATTAAATAATATATGTTTATTAGTTTATTAAGTTAACTGTATCTTTGGTAATTTAATATTTATTAGTTATCAGCTCATTCTGAATAATAAAAATAAAAATCAATGTTTATTTTGATTTTTAATTGACCAACACTAATATATATGATTTAAACAATTTACTACTTTTCTAAAATTTAAAAAAAAAAATCTTAATGTTGAACAACAATAATATATATATTACTATAAATCTGAGAAATTTAGAAAAAAATCTTAATGTTGTTTTCTTAACCAGGAAAGAAAAGCTTAATTGAGGCAGTTTTTTTTTTTTTACCCAAGAAAGAAAAGTGTAAGTAAGACATTTCTGTTGAAAAAAAAAAAAAAAAAAAAAAAAAAAGCTAATCTAATCTCCATCTGATCTTAACACCGTTTAATCTTACATAATTAGTAACGAAGTCTCATACAAAAACACAATGTTAAGTTACTAACCACCACTTGATTGAGGCACATAATATCAATGACTTTTTTTTTTTTTTTTGCGCAACAAAAAGGGTTTTTCACCCAATTTAACTTTTTTTTTTTTCTTGCAAATATTAACTAAGGATCACTTGCTTATATAGTTTATCTAAATTTCTAGGCATTATACTGATATTTGGCCTTGCCATTTCTATTGGTTGTTGCGGGGTGATTGTAGCCATTTTTTATATAATTAATTAAGGTTTTGGGGGTTTACAGGACACAGATATAATTTGGTTGAGGAATCCATTTAACCAGCTAAGCAAAAATGAAACTATGGACATGCAAATAAGTGTCGACATGCATAATACAGATTTAATCAATACTGGCTTCTACTATGTGAAATCCAACAACAAAACCATATCACTTTTCAAGAAATGGTACCAACGCAAAGAAAACTCAACAGGGATGAAAGAGCAAGATGTTTTGGCGGGTTTATTGAATGAAGGTATATTTACCAAGCTAGGGTTGACCTTCAAGCTCTTAGACACTCTTCATTTTAGTGGGTTTTGCCAAGATAGCACCGACATTCAAAAAGTCATCACTGTCCATGCTAATTGTTGTCGCCATATAGGCGCCAAATTTCATGATCTAGCTCGTGTTCTTCATGAATGGAAACAATTTAAGGCGTCTCCAAGCACTAATGTTAATTTTCATTGGTCACCTCATACACAATGTTGGAATTCATGGAATGATACAAAATATCGCCCCATATCTTAATAAATCTTCTACATTTCATTTCTCAATTACTACTTAATATTCTTAATTCTTTTTTTACCTATACAATAAATTTTTCTTATATAACATGCAGTGTTATTACAAATATTATAGGGATATATTAAGGCTTTGTATGAATTTAGGATATATATATATTTAATTCATGAGATATTTTGGCCTAAAAATGTTACTTTATTTAAACTTTTAAATCCATATGTATTTTATGCATAAGAATATTTATAATAATTATACATATTATTGTTTCTACTATTACACCATAGCTAGCTAAGGTTTAAATGATTGTATTTTTAAATATGTTAATTATGCTTTCAAACAAGCAAAAAATATATATGTTTTTAAAGCCATAATTAAATAGTAAGTTATTTAAATTATAAAGAAATTATTAGAATATGCTAGAAGAAATATAGTACATAGTTTCTTTACAGAATAAAACATAGAGAAATAAAAATTTAGAAATATTGCAATTGTGTTTTGTGCTTGTTAAAATTTTCAGGGTTAATAATTTAACTACCATGTCTATGAGTGTGCTTGTTAAGTTTTCTAAGTCTACAAATATTATAGTACTTAGCACCAAAATACTTGTGTAGCATTACGTTTCAAAATATATAGGTATCCAAGAAAGAAAAAAAGATATAGCAAGGTAATGAGAAAAAGCATGGCCTCACAGTAGAAGGGAAAATTTTAATCAATAGAAGCAAAACGGAAAAATAAAAAATGATAATACCTTTAAAAGAAAAATATATTATCAACAAGGTTATAGAAAAACAAAATAAATGGAAGGATGGTGAAAATCTTACTGATGTTGAACTAAAAAGAACAAAATGCATGTAGAGAGTATTTATAAGCATTTAATGAATCAAATCACTAAATCAAGAAGAAATACACCAAGAATATGCTTACAATTAATAAAACAATATTTTACTCCCACCTAAAATTAAGAAAAATGTCATCATTATGATCATGCCTAGAATCTCCAATACCACCCCTCAAGTTAGAGTCTGAGGATCCTGAATGCACAACTTGGAGAGAAAAAAATCAAACTGTTGCTTTTCTAAGGCCTTCATAAAGATTTATGAAGCTGCATAGAAGTAAATAGACATATTTGGTTTAAATATTATCATTTTGTATTTCATCATGTACAAAGTGACAATTAATTTTAATATACTTTGTTTGTTTATGGAAAATTGGATTAGCAGCTATGTGTAAAGCTCTCTACCACAATATAGATGCATAGGTCCTCAATGTGTCACACCAAGAGCATACAACAATCCTTTCAACCACTTTAATTCACAATACATGGTTGCCGTGGACCTATATTTCGCTTCAGTCGAAGAGTGAGACATTGTATGTTGCTTCTTAACCTTTTAAAAGATTGACAAATTACCTAAAAGAACAAAATAATCACTTGATGATTGTCGTGTTAAAGGATAACTTGCCTAATTGGAGTCACAATAAGCGTACAGTTTAAAGTTACAATAAGCATGCAGGAGGATACCTTAACCTAGATTACCTTTCAAATATCGAACAACTCTCGAAGCTATTTCCTAATGTCCACCATTCGGCTGCTGCACGCATTATACAAGCATATGCTCACAATAAGACAGTCCGAGCCTAGTAATCATCAAATAAATTAGTCACCTTAACTAACGCCTGTACTATCCAAGATCATGCAAACTAGCATTTTCAGCAAGTGTTAATTTATGATTTTGTTCAAGATGAGTGCCAACTGGCTTAGTTTCTAATAAACAAGTCTAAAAAATGATGTCCAACACATACTTATATATAAGAAGATATATTACGAGTCCCATACAACTTAAATTCCCAAGAAATATTTCAGTTTTCCCATATTATTCATATGTAAACGCATACTTAAATAATTTTTGAACTTTTGTCTAGCCGTTCGTTCATTACCATATATAATTAGATTGTCAGCATAGACAAGAACATTGAGTAAAATCTGTTGATCTCTACAAGTAAAAAGTGAGTAATCCAAATATTACTATTTAAATCCATAAATTCTAAGTGTTGCTGCTAACTTGGTAAACCAACACATGGGTGCCTACCACTGACCATATAACAAATTTCAAAGTTTGCATACCTTACTTGGTGTTAGGGATACAAAACCAAATAGCATTTTAATGTACACCTCTTCACCCAACTCACCATGCAGAAATGCATTATATATATTCATCTCATGTAATTCCTAATTTCTCGCAGCTACAACAACTAGAAACGTTGCACTGTGACCATCTTTATTGTCGGGGTGAAAGTCTTGTTGTAATATATGCTTTCGACTTGATTATTTTTAATGATCAGTAAACGTGTATTACATCTCTCGATGCTTTTATTTGAATTATATTTAATCTTTTAGACCTATTTGCTCTCGATTACTTTTTTCATAGGAGGAAAATCTTTTACTTTCCATGTTTCATTATCCTCAAGAGTATGTATTTCCTTTCTTATCGCCTCTATACAACAATCATCCTTTACTGTCTCAGCATAAGTACTACGTTTATACACTATGGTAATAACTACCATAAAAGATAAGTATTGCATAGAAATTTTGCGCAATTTACATGATGTTTTATAGGATGGGGTGTATCTGACAACTTTGATTTGAACGATGAACCTACTGAAGGGATTACTTAAATGGTATGCATCACATAGTCCTTTAATGAACAAAAGTTGTTAAATCCTTTTTCATTTGCCAATTTATTCATCAGACACCAGGATCTTCCCATGTCGATACCCCCTTATCTCCTACTCCAATATTCACATCAGTAGGCATCTTCTCATCATGACCCATCTCAATATTCACCTCGTGCTCCACACCTGAGGTTAGAACTTATTGCTCTTCCACATAATCCTGCACATATGAGTCCTCATTTTCTGCGGAGTTATTTGCAACTCCATTGTTGGTCGAGGAGGAATCTATATTGTTAGCGTATGAAAACATCGTTTCAACGAAGACAATAGCCATTGAAACAAAATATTTTTCTCTTTCTAAATCATATAACCTCCAGCCTTTCTTCTTAAATGAACCCAACCAAAATGCACTTTATGGCTTAATTAGCAAATTTATCTTTCTCCCTATTCTGGTCATGTGTATAGTACAAACACCTAAAAGTTCAAATGTGTTTATAGGAATATACCTATCCGTATAGGATCTCATATGGTGTCTTACCATCCAATAAAACATATGGCATTTTGTTAATCAAATATCCTGTTAGAAGAATACATTTGCCTAAAAACTCAATAGACAAATGTGCTTAAAAGCGTAAGGCTCTTGCCACATTGAGAATGCATCGATGCTTTATTTCTATAGGTTTATTCTATTGAGGTATCCCAACATAAGAAGTCTTGTGCAAAATTCTGTATTCAGCAAAATATTGTTTTTAAACACATTAACTCAATATCATTATCGCTCCTAATAATTTTCATATCTTTCTCAAATTTTCATCTAACCATTACATGAAATTTTTAAGAACATAAGGAACCTCATTTTTCTATTCAATAAATATATCTACACCACACAAGAATAGTCACCAACCATTATCATGAAGTAAACAGCACCGTAGAGCAGAAACCCAATAAGCTCCCCATAAATCACAATGGATCAAGTCGAAACTTTCTTTAGCTTTATTATCACTAGGAAAGGACACTTATCTTGTTTACTTATCTCTAAAACAAATGTCGTAGAACTTATTCTTGATACTATCACTTTCTACTAGCACTACCAACTTCATAAATTAAATCTATAAACCTAGAGGAGGGATGACTCATTCTTTTTATGTCAAAGATCCGAAGACGCAACACCAATTGTCTTGTATATACAAAAAAAAATTACTCTTTTGAGAAAATAAAGCTCTTACATTATTCACTGCTCCAATCAGCATCCTGGAGTTGCAGTCTTGTATAACACAAATTTTATTAATGGATTGAACAACAAAGTTGAAATCATTAAGAAGCTATAACACATAAATTAAATTGCACTTCAACTCAGGCACAAACAAAATATGCTATAACACAAAATTTCTCCCGCCATCAACTCATGACATTTGAATAGTGTTGGCTTGAGGAGTCCCTTTACATTTTTGTCCTCCACCAATACTCTGTTGGACACCACATCCACGTGTATCGCCATGGCCACTAGTGGTTGTGCATGACATGTCGCCCCACAATTTTGAATAACCAATCTGTTAAAATTAGTTATCAACATCATGTCTCTGCTTGCAATTTGGGCAAACCACGGTCTTGCCTTTTCCATCCCCTCATGAGTTTCGAACACCAACATGTATTATAGAACTCATGGGGTTGCCCGTGTCATGGTCCATACTCGTTCTTGCTACATAACATAACATAAGCTCGATTTAGATTTGACAAAGATTCAATGCTCAGGATATTGGAACATACTGTCCCATATCCATCTTCATCTAATCCCATCAAGAATTGATGAAATTTTTTTTCTTCTCTCTTCTTCTCCAATTTAGTGGTAATGTTACATTTGCATCCAGTGCAACTACAAATTGGGATCGAGTCATAATTCTTCAATTCGTCCCAAAAAGACTTTAACCGACCAGAATAGGCGACTATGTTCTATCCTTCCTACTTGCAATTTACAAAGCCTTATCTCAATTGTTACACATGTGGGCCATTCACAACAAAAAATCGCTGCTTGATTTCTTCCCAATGATCCTTCATATTCTCCATGTAAGATATGATTAATCAAAGTGTGGGTTCAACAGTGTTAAACACCCATGAAACGATCATTAAGTTAATAGTCCACCAATCTTCAAGTTCTGGTGAATCTTCATTTGGTTGTTTGATGGTGCCATCAATGAAATCATATTTATTTTTGGCTCATAATGCTGTACACATAGCACGTGCCCATTTGTTATAATTCTCACCTTTCAACTCAACTTGGATAATTATATTACTCAAATTTTCATTCGAAGTAAATGTATAGGAGGTTGGCATTTTCTTGTCAGAATATGTCCTGCCTTCATCT